CTCTCTCTCTCTCTCTCTCTCTCTCTCTCTCTCTCCACACAAATACACACACACACATGCATGCAGCACGGTGTTGGGGTCAAACCAATAAAGCGCTTGAGTCATCGATGCTCAAGCTGAGTATCTGAGGATTGCCAGAGAGGAACGCCCTCTTCTACTGAAATAGATACAGGGAGGAGACCCTGCTTTCACCACTATATAGGCACTGCAGGCCTCCATTTGTTTAAATTAATCATTCGAACATTCTCATAAAAATGATGTTATTTCTTAAATCAAATAAGACAGCACAATACACACCATCTTTCACATTCGGCAAGGAGTGGGGTGAGACACTGAAAGGAGTGGTCGGCAGGAGGGAGGACTGGCTTCTCGTCTCACCTGTGACCTTCTGCACTGAAAAGGCCGGCAGCATGCAACATGTCGTATGTTCTTGGGTATGTTGAAAAAGCTTCACACCTGAACAACAAGAGCCATGGATCCGAAAAGCAGAAATCCAGAAGACACCTTTTAAGAGAGAGCTCTTGTGTGCACCAACTCCCCATTGCTGTCTATAGGTAGAGACCCCGTACAGGTCTCGAAGTACTACATACATTGATTATCAATTGACGGCCTTTAACCACCACTACACGCCCCAAGCGAAAACAATTAGTAGTTTGCCTACATCAAAAACTTTCGGAGGCGCAAGGCTACATCCAAAACTGAGTGAGTTTGCAGACGTCCAAAAAGAAAAGAAATCGCACTCGCACCAGTTCGTTCTATTTGGCATGCCGCGTGATTTCAGATAGGTAAAAACAGCCTCAGACATAGTGGTTCTTTAAACCGCCAGTCCATCTGAAACTACTGTTCATCAAAAACTCCTATACGAATACGAGTCGTGCAACCGTAGGGAAGGGCTGGTGCGCCCACCAAAAAAAGGTACCGCCGCAGGACTAGAAATGATGAATCATAGGGGGTGTAGATTAAGCAAAGAACTTATCAAAGAGAACCTGAAATAAATAACTAACCAGGTGGCTTCTTTTTGTTTTTCTTCTTTTTCTTTTTCGTTCTTCTGCTGTTGGAAAACCACCCTCCCAGCTCAGCAGAGCGGATTTGGTGACTAATTTAGCGAGGTCCAATTTTCACATCATACTTCACACTAGGACGTGTGGCCAATGATTAATGTCAGATACACTTGGGAAGTGTTAGTGTTAGTAAGCCCTCAGTTGAGATTGGGGGGGAATTCTGGCCCTGTTTCTGTTTTGCTTATCTTTATTTAATAAGATGGCAACAGCCTTAAGCTACCGGTACATGGTCCCAGGGAACGGAAAAACAATGACTGGGTCAATCCGAAAAGTTTGGAGGCTCCGGGCAACTAGACCAAAACGGCGCACGGCACCAGTCAAAACGAAAACACGCAAAAACGCTGCGCTGGTGTTTTGGCACATCGTGGGGTGCAAGGGGAATCCACCTCATACAAATGAGGCTTGGATGTACTAGTGGTTTAAAATATCATCTAGTTCATCCTGATTTGAACTCGGCTGTGTTTCAACGGTTCATCGGTATACCAACTGAGCTAGGCCCTGTTCCACAAGATTCCGCACATAAAAAACAAAACACAGACAAAAAAAAACAAACAGAAAAAGTAGACAAGAAAGCAAGGTTGCAAACCCGGTAGGACCGGGGGCCCCTCCCCCAACCGGAACCGGACCGGTCCTACCGGCCGGTCGACCGGGCCGGTTCCCCCCGGGTTGGCCGTAGCGCATCATTTTTTAGGCCCAGGGTGTTGTAGAGGCCAAGGACTAGATCCCCGATGATTGCTGGCAGCAGCAGTTGGTGGTTGTGCTGACAGGATAGGCCACATTCCCTACCCTTCCCCACGTTAATGCTCCCAGCGCACCCCCTATCCCTACTATCCTACCTCAGTGTGACCAGCACTCAGGACCATCACCATAACCGTATCGAGGGCAACTTGGACCAGACAGCAGTGACAAGCACGCCCCCTTTTCAAAGTTTTTGGGCGTGAAGTACCGTCCTTACCCTGCCAGTAACACCTCCAGCCCCCTTTTCAATTTTTTTGGGTGGAAGGTTAACGTTTGCAGAAAGCCAGGTACATTGTTGTCAATGTCTGCTGAATCCATTGGTTGCTGAAACCCCTCCACCAACACCCTCACC